ACTTTACTATTTATCACAAAGCTAAACGAAATTGCACGCACATTCCTACGAAAGACCGGTGGAGACATTTCAACTTCATGAATTCCCAATTTCAACTTCATGAATTCCCAATTTCATTTTCATGAATTCTGAATCTTAGCTTAGTAATTCACGTTTTCAACATACGGAATTCAGGAATTCGCGATTATAGCTTCAGGAATTCAAGATTTCAACTTCACGAATTCACAATTTCAACTTCATGCATTTGAAACATTTAATTCAAGAAGTTGAAATTTTGAATTCGAGATTATGGATGTTGAAATCGTGAATTCGTGAAGTTGAAATTACTGTTTGTTGAAATCGTGAATTTATGATGTTGAAATTACTGTATGTTGAAATCGTTAATTTATGAAGTTGAAAATACTGTCGTCAATTCGTTAAGTTAGGATTACTGTATGCAGAAATCGTTAATTCATGTAGTTGAAATTACTGTATGTTGAAATCGTGAATTCGTGAAGTTACAATTGTGAATTAGTGAAGATGAACCCAAGTATTCAAGATGTTGAAACATCACCAACGGTCTTTCATACATTTCAGAGACTATCTATACTATACTGTATACACAATTTAAACATTTTTAATATTTCGTTTAAATACGTAATCTTTTTACTCGAATCCTGGAATAGTGTCATTTTCAAAAGAATATTTCTGGGGTAATATATCCATTTGTCATAATGGCATTACTATATAATCTAAAATACAATATCTTGATAACAAATTAGCTGTGTGTGTCCCTAAAAGCATTCATAAAATTTGAAACTGATAAAATGTAAGATCTGACCGGTAAATGACACAACTTGAATATATTCTATTTTCTCGTTTGATGATTGAACTTTTATATCGTTTGTTCTCTTTGCATTTGTCGGTATACTTTATTCTTTAAATAACCATTCATGTTATTTTTTAATACAATATTTAATAGAAATTTTTAATACAGTATGGCACGATGAACAATTTTTTACTAATTGAACGGTAGAAAATCGTGAATTCGTAACACATTTTGAATGGCATTTGTACGAATCAAAAATAAATATGTCTAGCAAGTGGTTGTTATTAGTCATTTTCGGTGACCACTAGTTATTTTATAATACAGTTAAACCTCTGCAGAACAACACCTTTTGTGTGTCAAAGATTTTGGCAGGAGCTAAAAGAGAGGTCGATTTCGTTGGGAAATCTTTTTTTTTTGGGGGGGGGGGGGGATTATACGGTTGTTGTTGCATAAATAAATATTGAAAACATATCTCTTCCCGTGCTAACCTTTTTTGGGGGTATTTTCTTGTATTTGAACTTTGTACCACTGTTTACATTATTTCATGTATGGCTATAATGGTGTTTTAACATTTATGCAAGTAAAATGTGATTGTTGATGTTGTTGGTGGTGGTGTTGTTGTTGTTGTTGTTCAATTGTTCAAATTTTACTGGTTTAAGAAAAGGTAGTTCGTTTCTTTATGTAATGCAACTAAGATAATAATAGTATTCAGAAAAAAAATAATAAAATTTAAAAAAAGGACTCGTTTAATTTTTCAACGGCCTGCTCTTTTTCAATATAACCGTTTAAAACAATTCAATTTTTTCTTGCATGAACTATTATCTGTATAGTTTATTTAACTAACAAACTTACCCCTACATTAATAGCACTTTGATAGCTTTACTAGTGCCTCCTCTTAACTTACTGTACCCAATTTCCGGTGTTGTATTTACATACTTTTATTTTTTATTGACAACTTCTACAGTTCAATAGTCCGATATCTATGTATTCGATTCCATTCTGAGTCCACTAACCAATGGACTACATTCTCTGTTGAATCCGACATTAATTTCATACAGTTTGATTGTTTTTGTAATTGACTTACTTTTAAATTTCACAACTTGCATAAGCTACTTCTGGCGATTTTTTTTCACCTAATTTGTAGGATAAAAAGTCTCTTATGGAACGGAACGTGTAGTCAGAATTTCAGTGCCCAGACTTTGATATATTTATGATTGACCATTAGACAATGCGACAATACATTCAAATTGCATATGTTCTTTTCGCGGATTTAATATGTATTCAGTGTGTCGAAAAGATATATTTTTCGAAACAATTAATTGATGATGTTGCAAAAGATATTTTCATTGAATTTACGGACGTAAGTATTCGGACATGTATTGAGAATTGTAAAAGAAGTCGCTCGTGCCAGTATGTTGAATATCGTCCTCGTTACCATCTATGCAGCTTATTACGTGATGCGGCTAACAACACGGTACATGGTAATGTTCTATCCGCACGTGGCTACGTATCCAGCAAAAAATTAGACTGGGACACGGTGAGTATAATTTTCATCTGGTGAGAGATGTGGTTTTTTTTTTTTTGCTTTTTTTTTTCAACCGACTTAACTCATCTTTGGGGGTCATGTCTCACAGGGCGTCCAAATTTTTAAAACCGCCTTTCCAGGAATTAAAAATTGAAAAAAATAATTATTATAACAATTTCTCTAAAAATATCCGACTAGTTATTAGTGGTGAGAGCCAAATTACCATTAAACTCGATGCCCGATGATCAATCGTCATGAAGAAATGTGCCATTGCCGAGGATTAAACCAGCGACCCCTAAATTAATAATCCGATGACCTAATCTGGCGGAATATTTTGTACATTAATCAATTCACAGCAATTCGGACAGATTTAAATTGTAAACGCTTTAATTGATGTTGGTAGATGCATATCATGGTTCACTTAAGTGTTTCCATAATTTGACCACCCATATTTTATCTTAATCCTAGATAAACTGTATGTCCGAATTTATACCAGTTTAATCTATACATGAATGAACTGCCAAAAAAAGAAATTTTATACTTTTGAACCTACATAAAAGGTGCACTATAGAATACATACCAATGAAGACCTTTTAACAAAGTGAGGCCACGTCGTTTGTTTACCTAGAACTTTTGTAATGTCGATAAAAGAAATAATGACACTGAAGTCTTTAATTACTTATCGCGAGACCCAAATCAAAGGGCCAATTACATAAATCTCTTAACAAGGAATGTAACAGGAGGTGGAATTCTACTGAAAACTGAAATCTTTTACGCGTTTTTCTTTTCTTTTTTTAATTGTTGTTGTCGTTTTCAAGCAAACTTGAATCCATGTATGTGGTTTGTTCAATGTAATTAATAGCATGTTTGTTAGAAAATATCATAGTTTTCTATTCTGACTATTATTTATCAGGCGTGGGCCTGGTGAATTTTCGTACTATTTGTTCTATAGTTAATCAGTCACGTTTGAGGCTTAATTCTGGATTCCACTGTTCTTGATGAATTATAATTATACTGTCTTCAACTTTAAACATCAACACTATCTTAGTCAAATGAGGCCCAAAATACAAAAGGTTAGCCATCTATTTTTTTTTTCAGAAATTTTCATTCTGTTATAACACAGTTTAAATTCACCACTTTAAAAACTCTTGACAAACAAATGAGCTCCTGGAGAATACACAAAAAACAACTATTGTACTCATCATATAACACACAAAAACTACACACATGCAATAAATATACTTTAAATATGACCAATATATAACTAGAGATGACTTAAATTGGGCCACTTCAAAATTCTAAAGAACTACTTTCTAGACTACAACGGGTTGGGTCTAATTCCGTACCGGGTTGAGACTTAAAATGAATCAAAAATTGAAGTTTAACCAAAATCTATACTCATTCCTTGTTAATTTAGTGTTATACAAGTACAATCATATAGGTCTGACATGTCTCTAACAAATTACATTAATGCAGTACAATTTCTTAAATATAAAAAATTATGCGAAAAATCAGCCTCGGCCAATAGAATTTTACGCAAAAATTCTGTCATATTTTCTTTAGAGATTAATAATATCTGTCATATGTTGCGGTCCGGACCGGATTATCCGTATAGCAAACAGGCGTTTTCGTAAGATTTACCCAAGCCGGAAATTTCATCAGGCATAGGGGTGCCAGATGAGTCGCGTGCCAAACAACAACGTCATTTTAATGAACAGCGTGAAATGACTTTAATTTCCATGGACATAGGTAAACCATTTTAAATATGAAATAATATGGCTGTATATGCAAGAAAAAATATCTGACATATGTTTGCGGGGCGGATCGGAATATCCGTTACTGCCCAATGGGCGGGTCCCCTCGGGACGGATATTCCGGTCCGAACCGCAGCAAATGACATATATAATTATCATTATTTTTACCTATCATGATAAAAATGAAACGTCTGTAAAACTTTCTTACTTCTTTTCATCACCAATTTTCCAGACGGTGTATACAGGTTGCCAGAATTGTGGAAATAACCAGTTTTGTATTGGTGATGGGTTCTCGTGCGAAACCAAAGGTAAGAATTTAAAATTGAATAATAATTTTGAAAAAGTAAGTTGATCTATCAACATCAGATGAATGTCAAAGATGGTGCTTTACCCATTTTTACCTACGGAATTTGTATTACGATGATACATGTATTTTAATTTTGGAACAGTACATTCAAAGTTTCAAGGATTTCAATACATGGAGTCCATTTCTACATCCCATTTTCTCTTCGAAAAGGCGGGGGACAATTAAATTAAACACAGTTTTTGGGGTTTTTTTTTCAGGAAGCTCTCTAATACTTTTAAAGTTATTCTTGATAAGAAAAATAAGCTTTAAACTGTAAGTGTGACCTTGACTTTGAAGTGTTGCGAATGACACATCATCTTATATTGTAAACATTCGTGCCGAGTCATTTCAAAATCTCTTGATCTATGAAAAAGTTACGGACCGGACACAAAATATACCCTTTAACAGACCATGCTAAGCTTTGACACCATAAGTGTGACCTTGACCTTGAAGGTACATGTATGGGTCCAGGTGTTGAGCATTACACATCATCACAAAAACTGATGATAAATCATTTTAAGAAGTCGTTGATGTGAATACCACTAAATGAGCAAATTACCAATCTGTTTCCATCTAAATTCCGATTAGACCAAAGGTTATCCGAATGCAATATAACTTTTTTCAGTTTGTGATACCCCGCCGGATATTCAGTCAAGTACCACTACTGGGAATATGTTCAATGTCGGTGACCGGGTTTCTTATTCATGTGACAGTTCTTCTGATAGGTTCATTTCGGAATGTTCCCCCGTTGGCTCCTGGAATACCACAGGCATAAATTGCAATAACCAGACGCCACAGACTCCGACAGGAATAATAGGTATTTACATCAACCTACGGTGTCAAAAAAGTTTCATCTGAATGTTATACTAAATGGTATAGTTTTTTCTCATCTAAATGGTATACTAAATGATATAGTTTTTCTTTTTCATCTAAATGGTACACTGAATGATTTAGTTTTTTCATCCAAGGGACGTTAAATAATAAAATAATTAACCTGAAAGCTTTACTGAATGGTTGGGTTTTTTTTGTCAATCTGAATAGTATTTTGATTGATATATTTTTTTTCCATTTGTATGGTATGCTGAATGATATAACTTTTCATCTACATAGTATACTTAATGAATGAGTTTTTCATCTGAATGGTATACTGAATGATACTGTTTTAATTTTTTTATCTGAATGGTACATTAGATAATAATTGAGCCGTGTCACGACAAAACCAACAAAATGGCTTTGCGACCAGCATGGATCCAGACCAGCCTGCGCATCTGCGCAGTCTGATCAGGATCCATGCTGTTCGCTTACAAACTCTATAACAAGCAGAGAAATGATAGAGAACAGCATGGATCCTGATCAGACTGCGCGGATGCGCAGGCTGGTCTGCATCCATGATGGTCGCAAAGCCACTATGATGGTTTTGTCGTGACACGGCTCATATAGTATTTTTTGTTTGTTTTTTTTTTTTTCATCTGAATGGTAAAGCTTTTATGATAATGGTATACTGTAAATTTGAATCTGAATGTATAAATTTCATCTGAATCTAATAGCTTCCATCCGAATGTTCCAGTTTATCATCTGAATGGTGCAGTAGTTTTATCTATAAATGTTAGCATTTTCATCTGAATCTTAGAGCATTCATCTGAATCGTACATGTATGGTTTTAATCTGAATGGCAATGTTTTCTTCTGAATGGTATAGTATTTTCATCTGAATGGTAAAACTTTCAGTATACTTTTAATTTCAAAGATAAAACATTACAATTTTATCTTATTAGTCTTTAATTTTCATCTATATGTTATTTATCTCTCATTTTAATGGTTATGATTTCATCTGAATGGAATAATATACATCATATTCGTTAATATTATTTCTTATAAATGGAATACTTTCCATTTAAAATGATATAGGTCTCATCATAATGGTATAAATGGAAACTTTTATTGAATGGTATACATCTCATGTATACAGTATATATTAAATCTGGATGGAATAATCTGGATGAATAACTTTTCATCGGGATTGTTTATCTCATCTAAATAGTGTACATTTAATCGGAATGAAGCAATTTTTATCGGAATGGATATTTTGTCTGTTTGTTTGTTTGTTTCATTTTACGTCTTTTCCCAACAGTATTTCAGTCATATAGGCGAGTAATATCCTAACCATCGTTCCTGGAGAGTTACACCAGTAGTAGACTACCTTCCTACGTGCTAAACTACCAAAGCACCTCCCGGGGATCGAACCCACACCAGAGAGGTAACTGGATTAGAAGTCATTGACTCTAACCCCTCGGCCAAGGAGGCGGTTGGATTTTATGTATTCATTACTTTCCTTTGAATTTGTGGCTACTTCAAATGACTTTTAGTTGTTCCATTTTTCTAGTTGATGGATCAATTAATTATAGTGCTTCCCATTTTTTTAGAGGAAACAATTAGAGTAAGGGTAGGAGATTTTTTAGGTTAACGCGCAAAAATTGTCTCACCAGAAAGGGGGAACAATGGACCGAGAAAAGCGTCATTATATGATTAACTGTTGTTCATTTCTTCGTATAGGCTCCGGATGGTTTGAATGCAGAAGAGATTCATATTTGTTTGTCAGAGATTTACTTACTTGGTACCAAGCAAAGGTAAATGCGTTTAATATACTTCAGTGGTCCGTACAAGATATTATTACAAACATATACTTAAAGGCGTTTTCGGGAGTTTCCGTATATACATAAAGGCAAAATTAAAACTGTTCAATAGAATTTCCTAAAACTTGGCATATTTTATCGTTGTAACAGACGTCCCTTTCGTATTAAACTATTAAAATATTTTTGTTAAGAGTGTTAACAAGGGCGTATCATGTTGGTGGCAGGATCCGGTACCCAAGCGTCTGTGGATTAGTATTTTTGTATGTTAGTCAAAATACTACCTTGTTTTCATTTTGTTACATTTACAACATAGTACTGCGTGTTCAGTGTTACTTCCTTCAGTGTTTAGATATGTAATATGTTATGAATCCACTATTAAAACATTACTAAACTCATGTTTGACATTTCTAAAGAAGTTATTAAATACGGATTTCTTAGGCATACTGTGTTTTTAAGAAGATAGGCCAGGTTACACGGTTTTCAATGTTGGATTGAAATGCTTATTTATGTGGCAAAACACTGTCTGATATCAAGCTTCAAAGTTCTGATATATTTCCATTTCAATGGGTCTTGTAGCTTAACTACTACACATTAAATATAACCGTTAAAATGATAGGGAGTCGTTTGTTGAGAATTAAACAGAAATAACCTTTTTTCATTCTACTGGAATCTCGTTATTTTGTCTCGTTTTAGGTAAACTGCGAACTTCTCGGGTCACAGCTAGCCAAAATTAAAAATGACGGTGACTTCACTTGTGTTAAAGAACTTTTCGCTACCCTGTATGGAGGTAATAAAAAATAGAGTCGTTCAATCAATAACACTTTGTTTCACATATTATTTGAATAGTTAAACATATCCGGAAGTAGGAAATGGACGTTATCTGAATAATGAAAATTGTTTGCTAGTGGTAACATAGTTATTTGACCCACAATAGTTATTCTACATTGAATTTCAAAAACGGCTTAACAATTCTTGTACATGTAGATTTTTGAAATATATAAACTTATGATAAAACTAATATGGCAAAATGAATTTGATCGACAAGCGTGAAAATTCTCATTTCTCTATGCTAAAATTTGATAATAATTGCTAAAGAGTGTCTTTGTAAATATAAAATCAACATGTTGTTACTTAACAAAAAGTAAATATGTTATATTAAAAATCTACACACATAGGTGACCACAATATGAATATATAAGGTCATTGAAAACAAACTGGCAGTTTAAACGAAACAATCAACTTTACTTGACCTGCAATAGGGCATGCAGCTTCTCATACATAGTTCATTCTTTCTTTTATTCTAATAAGACATTATTTTATTAAATAAAAATTTCATAGATTTCAATTCATTTCTGTGATCAAAAGATTTTAGCCAATGATAAGCATAACATATCTTTAACATGTGTTAACAATGTTCGTTACAGATGAAAGAGTGAAATTATGGATAGGGGCAAATGATATCGACAAAGAAGGAACATTCTCGTGGGCTGACGGTGAGCTTGTTGTCGATTATACCAATTGGAACAATAACCAGCCAGATAACGCCCTTGGTAACGAAAATTGTGTTGCGGTAGGGACTAGGTTTCATTCTTGGAATGACATGGATTGTGATTTGTACGAAGGAAGTATTTGTTACTTGGACTAACTATGGAATAGAATTACAGCATTTGTTCCATCTTGATTGGTGACATTGCAACTTAAGATATGCCAGTATCATGACTAAGATTCATGATTTGGTTAAATCGTTTTCTTTTTTTCCTTTTTCATTTTATGTTTTTGTGGTTTTAAAAAAAAATTGTGTTTATCATGTTCGAAAATTTTATTTGCTATGCTGAATGAGCCATCGACGTATTTCCGGTTTCAAATTATTATTTGAAATGGTTTTAATAAACTTACAAAGCATCGTCGTTTAAATTTACTGTGAAAAAAATATATTTCTTACTTATATAGTTGCTTGATTGAATGCTTAATCTGGTTTTCTTTTTCAAGCTGATACAAATAATAGTTATGAAATAATGAGAAAAACAGAAATATAAAAAGTGACAAAACGAATGAAAGCAAGTACCACAGGCAAAGTGTTCAACGGCAAACCAGAGCAAGCACGAATCAACGTTTTGTGATAGATACATGTGTATCGATATTTTCAAAAGTAGTCTCCCTTTTGCAAAGATCTTGTAAAATAGAGTAAAAGTTATTACCCTTTATCAACTGCATTAAATTTTGTACCCGATGATTGCTATAATACGGAATGCCGTTAGGGCCATCGCCTATGAATGTGTTGATCTGAAACGCGATAGTCGATAGTACGATGGTGAAAACGCGAAATCACGAAACTACGATGGTGAAAACGCGAAAGTACTGTTATGTATGCAACATATTACATGTATATAATTTATATCTGACCAGTTGGTATTTCCAATATTATCATTGTTCTATTTTTAGAACATAAACTACATGTATGTACTAGAAGGTTCTTAACTGTTGTAGAAAACTCATGCATTATATTTAGATAGAAACTTCTGGAATGATCTTTATTGTTGAAGTTGCTAGATTATGATTACTTGAGAACATAATAGACCTTTCTGGAAACTTCTTAGTTAATATATATAAGGAGACATTTTTCATTAATCTTATCTTTAAGTCATCAGTTACCTTTTTAGTCATCAGTGATCTTTTAAGTCATCAATATATTTGGAGTATTATTCAACTTGGAAATTAAGTGATTTATTGGAGCTTGGATTATTAATTATTCTTGTGGATTTTATTGTGGGAATTTATTCTAAAGTGTTCTTGGATTTAACTTGGATTTAACTGTGCTATTAAAAAGGATCATTCCAGGATTAGACTAGACATTTGTAATTTTTCATTTTCATTTGGACTTCAGGTATTTGTTAACATAATTTGTTATTTTATTTTTCTTTAATAATTTTTCTGTAATAAATTTGTTATTGTTACAAGTTTGTTGCTAGCTTTTCTTTCTCGTTACGCCTGGCTCGTAACAGAAATTGGGGGCTCGTCCGGGATTGAATATTTCTTTTTTTTGCTACATTATTGGA